AAGTAGTCCACTGCTCTATTTAAAGACCCTTTCCCAAACTAGAAAATTGTATTTATCATTAATTGAGAAGAATAATTCTAGGGTTCTTTTTTTGTCCAATTTCATGAGATACTCAGCAACTGCAACTATTGGAGGCAATTTTAAAATTTGTATGACCATCATAATTCTATTTCTTGAAGTTGCTGAGTATTTCGTAAACCAATCAAGACCAGAATGATCATCTTTTCCTACAGTTTTGGAGACCCTCTTAGTGGAGCTTGCGTGTCCTTCCTATGTGTGACTGAGTTTTGTTCAGATACTCCATTTTGCATCCAGAGTTTAATAACATGATCTGTTTGTGGGAAAAGTAGTGAGAAGTAGTCCAACAGAGCAGCAACATTTATGTGTTTCAGCCAACAGCCAGGCAAAAACAGAGGAAGTATGACTCCTGTTGGTAAAGTTACTTTAACACTGATGACTACCACCTTCTACATATGAATCTACTGTTATGATCTGTGCAAACAAAAACACACACAAGGCAAACTAGATCCATTATCTCATCTTTTAATAACACATTCATATCTATGGTCTGTTTGTTTACAAGGAATTAAAATAAGTGTTGACGAGGAATAAAGAAATCATTCAGGCAGAAGGTGAAAGTCCATATACTGTGAAGACCAAAATATCTTATGATAAAAGTGTATATTCATGACTCTGTGACTGCAGCGATTCAAATCCTTTAATTTCCTTTTAAAGGTCAAATCTAAGTTTTGATAAGTGTAGATGAATCCAACACAAATCAACAGTGAGACAGCATCGCCCTCCTTTCACCAGCATCAACACAGTCAGCTTAGAAAACAGGTCCTTTTGCTTTTGTTTCAAATGAATCACGAGAAATGAGAATACATCATAGTTTGTGTAAAAGGTCCTTGTAGGGTGCTGAAACTTTTCACAAAGAGAAAGGAAATGCTAAACGCACCCAAACATAAGAGTTACAATCTGATGTCAGAAAAGGGAGAGAAAAATAGGAGTCAACCAAAATGAGGCAAAACATGAAGAGTTTCAAGTTACAAACAAGAAAGTTCATTGAAATAAAAAGGAATAGATGTGAACTGAGTAAAGAAATCTAAAATATTTTGAGTTGGTGACGATGAGAATTAGGTTGTATTTGTCCGTTTGATATCCCATCATATATTTCCTTCCAAATCAACTCAAAACAGAGAATGTAAATAAAGTTATCTTTGGAAGAAGTATAGGTTTCTTTTCCTTTAATAGACTATCCACTACAGTATATGGAGATGCCACTACCATGTTATTCATTCATCTATATTTCTTTTGAAAAATTTCTGTCTTCATTTCTTTTTAAGGGTTTTATTTTGAAATCTTTTTTTTTTTCCCCAACAGAACATAACCTATTATCTTTTTCCTAAGAGGTAGATTAACAAATTAATTACATGGTTTCCGATGTCATTGAATCCCAGAGAGGGGGCGTGTGGAGGGGGGCTGGAGGGAAACTGGGCTAACTTTAGCTGTTCTCACTTCTAATCCAGTTTAGATGGAGGCCCATTATGATTTCAATGGGCCTCCAGCAGTCGGCCTGTGACCCACAAACAGGATCAATCAACACTTTGCTGTGATTGCTTGATGTTGGTCCAGTTAGGTTCTCCAGCTCACAGCGCCCCCTGACTTCTGGCACGCACTACTACACAAATTCTGGATTTTTCTGTGCGCATCTTCTTTAAATTTACTCTTTTCAGTTTTAACTCTACCTGGAGAAGTACAATGTTAAAAACTGAAAACTTGAAATCAACGAGTGACAAATGTAATTGTGCTATAAAATATTGTGTCCTCCTCTCTGTTTGCATGTCCAGCTGTCTGAATACTCACTCCTGTCCTTTTTAACCTTCAGGAAACGGACAATCTTCCAGCTGTGTTTGATCTTTTTTTTATTTTGAGGTAGCATTGCTGGTTATGTGTTAAGAGGATCACGTTTTGTTATTTCCAGGTAACAGTGTCCCTCCGCCGTGTTTGTCATTGTCCAGCTCGGAGCCGGATGTCGGGACGTTTCGCCACATTGGAGTTTTGTCAGTTCCTCTGAGTTCTGTCGGGGCAGACGTTCACACTGCTCTTTAAAGTGCAGCTTTAACGCACTACAACACACAAGAAGCTTCTAAGTCTGACTTTCCAAGGTTCTACACTTAAAAGGGAACAAGAAAATGTATTTTTATTCATTTTTGTTTTTTGATTTTTTTTCTTTTGTCATTTTGTTTTTGCCAATTTATTGTGTACTTTTCATTAATGCTGATCATATACTAATGTTTAGGTAATGTTTACATCAGTGTGCTGTCATTACACTGTTGTGGTAACAAAATGGATTTTTTTCAGCCATAATAAGTAGCATTATTACCCTGAAGAGTGTCTGCTATACTCTATGGATCCATGACGACGCATGACTGCATCCAGCAACTAATCCAACATGACAACAGAGGCTTTTCTATTTTCTTCATCAGTTGTTGGTGAGACTTTACATGTTGGTGTTTGTCAGCAACTTTTTGGAGTGGAATTTCTCTGGTAAGGGATTCCTGGCAACTCATTCTCATTGCAGCCAAAGACTTCTTAGAATTTCCCAAATAAACATGGCTCCAAAAATCATGCTACAACAATAAAAATGAAAATATGACATCTGTTGTTTTCTCCCATTACACTTGCATAAAATCTGATTGGATATTTTACGGAATTTAAAAATGTAACGCCAGCTTTATTCTACAGAAATGATCAGCAGTAATGCAAAGTACTTCAGAATGGAAAGGGGCAAAACATGCACAATAAACTAAAATGAAGATTCAAACAGTATTGAAAAGACTTTAATACATATTTAATGTTAGCATTTGAAATTAATATTGAAATAGTTTTAAAGGTGGCATCACACTAAACTCTGTCAATCTTATACAACAATAGATCAGTCTGGAATTAGCCCAGAAATGATCCAAAACTAGGTATTAAATGGCTGAGAGCAAATTAGAAGATAGTCCTTCTCACTACATTCTGACCTACAGAGGAGCTGCAGGCAGCACAGCGTGTGCTGGCTTTCAGTTTGATCCTAACAGCCATTTTCTCTAATGTACAGAATAAAAAATAAAACAACGAAGAGGAGTTCAGTTCCAAGATGAGACTCTGCTGTTTCATAACTTTACCTTCAGGAACAGCTCAAAGATCAATTGCAGATATTCTTAGTTTGCATTTTTGGACCGAGCCTCTACTGTGGGTTTGGCACAGTTAACATCCTGTACTGATACTTGTTAGTAATTCAGTATTTTTAGTAGCCATTTTGTTAATATATGTATGTATTCATGTAGAAGTTAAACTATTTTCAGATTTTCCAACCAAAAGAAAGTTTAAACATTGATACTCTTTTTTAAAGTGGACTAAATAGAAAAATCAACAGGTCTTCAACAGAAGTCAGCAAAACGAACACAATGGAGACCAGCGCAAGATAGGGCAAGAGACCCCGACGTTCCTGCCCACTCCAAAAATGAAACATTATTCAGAAACTGAAGGAAATCAAATATTTTCTTTCCAAGAATACAAAAAAGAGGAGAAAGACTGAAAGCGATCATTCCATCTCTATTCTCTGCTGCACTTTATCTTTTTCTTTCGCTATGTGGGCTGGGTGTTCTCAGTCGTTTTGGTAGTTTGTCATCGTCAGCATATTTTATCAATTAGTGCAACACTAAGTCCCTAGATGTTATGTCCAAATAAAGCTTGCTGTATTGTCTAAACTAGATAAAACAAAATACGTCAAATCTAACCAATCAAAAACCCTGCAGACTGAATAATAAATCCTAACTAATGTGTCTTGGCGGTTGTTAACAGAGCTCTATGGTTTGGAAACGACAACAATGCCGAGCTCTGAAGTTCGGGCCTCTGGGCAAAAATGGAAGCATAGACATGACAGAAAATGCTTTTCCCTGTTTGATGCTCAGGTTGCAGCGCAGCCAGCGCAGCCAGCGCAGCCAGCGCAGCCAGCGCAGCCAGCGCAGCCAGGCCGCTTTGTTCAGCACTGTGAGGACTTGAAAGGAGTTTTACGTTTGGCAGTGTCCTATGATGACTAGCATTATCTTTCTGTTCTCAACTGCTTTCCTTTTTGGGGTTTTTTTTTCTGAAATTTTCTCCAAAAATACAAAAGCATAACGATCACTGAACAGGTTTTAAGCTTTTCGCAGCAGTATGGCTGCCATTTTGCTCCCATTTTCTCAGAAACTTTTTAATTCTCTCCATCCTTGATGGGTTTGCAGGTGGAGGGCCGTGGGTTCTCATCCTACTTTTTTCAGCTTCTTGTGAACCCAACCACATTCCCTGACCAAAAAATAAAAAATAAAAAAAATGTTTAAACTTTGAACACAAACTTGCACATGCCTGCATTCACATACACGCCCATGTAGCCAACAGGGAGCATCATGGTCAGTGCACAGGTAATAAATATTCACATTTAGAGACATCAAAGCCGCCTGCAGTGTAAGCATGAACAGTCGGGCTCTATCTGGAAAACAAGTATACAACTGATCATAAAACCAAGTTCTTAAACTGCTGAGGGAGAAAACACAGCTCCTGTTTAGCGCTTCCTGATGATGTCAATAAGGCACCAGAGGAGGGTCCTTGAGGGTTCAAGGCAGGCACACTGACAAAGACTAGAGGCAGGGACTGGACTGGTCAGGGGGGGTCTGTCTGTCTGGAGGAGGACATCCATTCATAACAGTCAGCTAAAGACCCACTGAGTGGTGTGTTTGGTCATCCTTGAGCCTGTTAGGACCCTCCCCTTGAGGTAACACTGCTCCCCATTGGCCAGTTCTCCACTTCAGGCAGTGGCTGCTCCAATCACACTTCAGGTACACAGATGGGGGGTTTTCCCACCAAAAAAAGGCAAACTAGCTCAGCATCATGTACTGTACCAGCTCTCTGCTAAAAGAGAAAACAGCCTCTTTGTCATCCTGAATTCACTGATCTATCCGTCCCCACCAAAAAAAAAAAAAAAAAAAAAAAAAAAACAGAAAAAAATTAACCAAAGCAACAAGACAATACTTAAAAAAAAATCTTTTTTCTTAAAAAAATAAAAAATATTCAGGACTATTAGCTCTTTTTCTTCTATTTATATAAAACACCAGCAAGCGAAAAAAAGTTAGGAATACTGAGGTAATTTTACCCTGAGGTAGTTTTTTCTGTTTCATTTCTTCTCTGATCTGTTCTAATCTTGGTAAAAGCTTCCATCCTCCTGCCCCTCTTTATCATACACAGGCAGGATGTGGAGGCTCCGCCCACAGGCCTGTGGCATGTTAGGGAGAGAGAACCAGGAAGCTGCTTCCGCTCAACTCAAACTTCCTCTACCGAGGTCCAGGTGGGGAGCTGCGGAAGACTTGACTTATTGCTTCCTGTGCCGTCAGAGCAGAAACAGAGACCCTGACGGGAGAGCCAGGCTGCTTCAGAGAGGTCACCTTGCAACAAGCAGAGGGGCTCAGACGCTCCTTGTCTGTCTGCCTTTGCCGGACTTTCAGGTGCAGCAAACCCTCACAACTGACTCACTAGCTACAGTCCACTCAGCGGGGGCCGGGCTAACTCACATATCATATATATATAATATATAGAAAATATGCCGTTGACGGTGCGAGTGGCGGCCAGCGAGCACGGCTGCTGGGGGCTGTGAGCCGACCACTGCATTAGAACTGCAGGACCAGCTCCGACTGCCGCCTCCTTACTGTCTCCTGCTGCGTCTTCCCACCAGCAGGGGGCGCCTGAAGACCCCCCTCCCCTCTCAACTTGCTGTAGGCACTGTATGCTACATCTCAAACAGGAGAGAGGGAAACATAAAGACAAACCCCTCCGTTTTTCTTAAAAAACGTGGTTCGGACGCAGCATTTTTAACAATAACTTGAAGATTATATATTTACAACCTCATATTTTCATTTTTTTTTCCATTCAGCTCCGGCTGCTTTTTAGAGAGCTGTTTAAAGAGCAGTGTTAGCATCTACGGCCCCCTCCTCAGGACCCCAGAGCTGGCCCACCTTTGCCCGCTGCAGCAGCTTCCAGACTCTCTCTCCCAGCTCCGCCTCACTGCATTCTTATCATAATAGCTCTGAATAAAACATTTCTATACATATATCTCTATGTTAAAAAACGCCCTTAAAATATCAGACTGACTGCAGATGTTTGGAGAGGTGTGTGGAGGAATGAAGCGTCGGAGCAGCTGCACACAGGCCAGTGGAGCTGCGACTCACACAGGTTTCATTAACTGCACCAGCTCTCCATCACTTCATGGAGAGAACCGCCTGCCTGTCAATGAAAGCTATCGATCCAAAGTGTGAGAACTGCAGCGAGCCAGGAGCTCTGTGCAGCCACACCACGACGCCTGATTCATCCTCTCCATCCCTCCTTCTCTTCATCCTCTCATCCACACTCAGTCTCTCTTCTGGCCTGGCACTGGGTCTTTGTTTTCAAGTTTCTTTTTATCCCAATCATTTCAGCTTTTGATTGAATTAATTTTAGATTTTTCTCACTGAGGATGTTTCTCAATGGCCATCAGGCGTACTTCCACCCTTCCTAGTATCTCCCTGTCTATTGCTGGGTCCGCGTTTTACTCTTCTGTATCCGTTCGTCTGTCCGTCTGCACGTGTCCGTCAGGTGTGTGGGGCGGGGGAGTCCCACAGCAATGTGAGGGGACCCTCACTTCCTGCGTGGCTGGTGGTCCTGAGTCAGGCCCTGTGTGGGGCTCCCCATCTCAGTGAAGCCCTGAGGGTGGGGCCCGGGGCCCATACCCATCCCACCTTTCTGGGACATTTTGACCTGCGTCAAGATGTCTCGGATCTTCCTTTGAGCCAGCTGGAAGACAGGCAGAGGACCACAGAGTTGATCGGAATTAATCAAAAACTACATACAGACAAATTAAGCAGCATATTCAATTCAAAAATCCTATTTGCTGCTCAGTTAATGAATAAATAGTCAAATGAGCCCACTAACAGAGATATTTAAAACTGTTCTTCTACCATCAGATTGGTGCAGCTTTCCAGTTCTTCTAAGAAGTCCTGGACCTTGTTTAGAAATGTGGTCTGTGGGTGCTGACTTTGGTGTCTGTGCTGCTGCTACATGTTTAGCATCAAGATGCTATTTTAGGCTTGGATAGTTTCACTGACAGGCTAACTAATTTTAGCATAACTTGAACAGAGCAATACCCTGATTTTTGAAGCAAAAATTAAACCCCGCGGGCCGAGAGAAGCTGGTTTGTCTTCCATTGATGTTTTCTGCAAATGTTGCATGTGCATCAGATTTAAGGGTGAAGCAGAAACAAGCAAATATAAAGGTTCTGGCCAGAAATGTATTATACATTTTTTGTAAAAACAATTAATTGCATTTTTTTTAAGTATTTATTTAAAATCTATTAAATAAATGTATCAAAATTGAATACCATTCTGAATTCATTTTTCTGTATAATATTACTGAAAATTACTGGTCAGTCATATACAATATCATGGAGATGCAATGAGTTTGTTGTAAATTGGCAGAAAGTGAAACATGAAATGTGATGTGCCTCATGCTAGCGACCCAACAGGGAACATACCTGGCTGGCGTAGAAATGTCCATTAATCTTGACAATGACCTGGTCGTTTTCATCAGGTGTCTGCTCTCTAGGGACCACCACCTCAGCTGCTGTCAGGTTCTGAAGCTCATTCACCTGCAAATACAACTCTCAGTCACTTCAAGAATGAGCAACGGTCGAATGTTAATTTGCTTGATATCAGAACAAGCACTCTGGAGCTCAGATTAGGCTCAAATCAGGTCTGCAAGCACCAGGTTTCTGCTGCTTACCGTTTTTCCTCCTTTGCCGATGACCCTTCCTGCAGCTGCAGCAGCCATCTTGATGTGAGTTTCCAGTTTCACTTCCTCTTTAGGACCAAAAAAATTCTCCTCTTTCAGTTTGCCATAAATTCTGCCCTGAGCCTATGGGTAAGAGAAAGAAAAGGAGATTAATAATCCTCAACAGAAGATAACCCCAGTAATCTGTCGGCTCTTAATGTTAACCTTGAACTGAGCTTCTGGAGGTCCGGTCACAATCACCATCCTCATCTTGGAGTCTGGTGTTTCAGCTGGTGCAATCTGGGGAACAACAGGAATATATTACTGGCTTCAAGATGTCAGCTACAGTAGAGGAGCTGAAATTCTGTTGATAGAAACTATTACTTTCATTTTTATCCAAACCTAAAACATGTCAAAGTTTTTATTTCAGGAACAGCTGAATGTTGCTCAACCTTGGTGAATAAACCAGAGAGCTACAGTGTTAAGCAGCGTTAACACTGATCCGTCCTGCCAGCTGCTGGGAGACTTTATCACAGGGGTCCCCAAAGTGGGTCCTGGATGGCCAGCATCCTGCGTGTTTTAGTCTCTCCTTAGTGGTAGTGACAACCTTTCAGAGTGTCAAAGTTCTTCTTAGGCCTCAAACAACCCATCTTTAGATCCAGGTGGGTTAAATCAGGGAGAGAACTAAATCATGCAGGATACTGGCCCTCAAGGACCAACTTTGGGGATCCCTGCTTTATCACGTCACTGCTCCCAACAAACTCAATCAGTAACTTTACATCCCTGCTTTTATTTGCAGTTTTCTCATTTCAGATAACATCCCTGCTGTCATTTGCACAGCCCCGTTTTTGCTTCTTAGAAATAGTCCTTTTTTTTATGTAGCTCTTGTACATTTTTCTTTTTGAATGCATTGGCTGCACATTTCTTTTAAGCAGAGTAACAATAACTCTACAGCATTATTTTTCTAATATAAATTTGAGCCACATTCTTGTTTTTATCTTTTTGTGAATATGCATGCTCCCGCTTGCTGTGGTGACACCTGAACATTATAGCATATTTCTATTCTTCTCTTCTATTTCCATATTTAACAAACCTTAATGGAGGCTCCAGCGAAGCGGCTCAGCTGTTTGATGTGCTGTCCCTTCTTGCCGATGATGGCTCCCACTGCTTGTGCTGGGATGTATACATGAACAGTCTCCTGCTCTGGCGCCTGCCCACAAAGTTCATATGTATGTAGGGTTAGGTTGGGTTAGTCCTTTGCTCCCTTTACTGATATGCATAAGATTTGCAGTGTTTTGGCTGTTCCATAGTTATCCAAATTCTATGATTTGCACATGCATTTCAATCATTTTAAAACCTTTTGCATCAATATGCAAACATTTCATAAAGATTCATGACCAGAAATCTAAACAATAATATCACCATCACATTCTTTTAAATGTGATTTTTTAAACTTTGAAAATCTGATCTTTTATGTATACATTTGTTTAGTTTATAAAATTCTTCATGACATTGTTGCTCCTCTTTCAAGAAAGTTTGTCTGAGATCAAATAACATGAGTGGAGTGTAGAGGGCAGTGCAGCATCCCAAAGTAGAGGACGAGATAAGATCATTTATTATTCTCCAGTAGGAGAAATTTGTCTAGAAAGCAGGGGAAAACAGCACATCCAAAGGGATGTGCCATAAATAAATTCATAAAAGCATAAAAAAGATACATTTAATGCATTTAATGAACGTGACAAGTCATTGGAATAATTTGCCAAACAAGATTACATGTTCTAGTTATAAATGTTGGCACATTTGGTAAAAGATTGCTTGTTAAATTATCAGATTGCACTCTCTACTGATGACGGCAAGGACATTGTTTTATGGACTGCTAGCTGGTTTGTAATTTGAGTTGCTTGGTTTTAGTGAGATCTGAATAATGACTTGTCACACATGTACATAAGGAATTAAGAATTTTCCTTTGTACTCTGACTACATTACCCCAAAGGAGCCATAGGGGGTTCCTCCAACTGCATTTCCAGGCGGTGGGGGAGGCATATTGGATGAAGGGGGGAAGAGACCCAGAGCCCCCAGGTTAAGTCCAGGGATCAGGTGAGTTTGTTGCTGTAAAGAAGAATATCACAGGAACATTTAGAAGGTTGATCTTAGCTGTCAACCTTGAAGATACAGTGACGATCTAAAAATCTAGTTTTAGATGTTCATTGATCTTTATGAAATATCAACTGCAGTTACTCAGTACTGTACTGAACAGGTAACACAAGCAAGGGTACATAAACCCAATACATACAGAAAACGTTTGATGTGTCGGAATTCTTCTGCTTTGACCTTTTCTCCTTTTACAGAAACAAGGTTTTGAAGTCTGACCTGAATATTTAAAGGTCATTCCAACCTTTTCATCTCACCTACCAAGCAGATTTTTCACATTATAATTGTTTAAAAAAGAAGTATAGACATATCCTTTGTAATCTGTCCTTCAAAGGATAACATGACTGGAGATAACAGCTCTGATGAGCATGTGTGTGCACTTACATTCATCGCTGCAATGTCATTCTCATAGGCCTCTCTGACCTTCTTCATAATCTCGACCTCGGCCTTACAGCAGGCCTCGATGGAGCCTTTGACTGTGATGGTTCTCTCTGGGTTGTACAGGGTCAGGTCCTGCAGACTGCACACATCAGCACACCCAGCATGGTTACTCACACGCTGCGTTCGTTTGGAATGCAGCGCTTCAGCTTCCTGTTAGTTTGCAGAACTGAGAGATACTTTCACCTAACACAGGAAGTCCAGGTCACAGATATCATGAACATGCTTCGACGTTACAAAATGTAAATGCTCAGAATTATTTAGTGAAATGAAAGGTCAGTAATTATCTCAACTTTGAATAAGCCTGAAGACAGAGTTTTGACTGCCAAATGTTCCCGTTTATGCAAAGCAAGAAACTCAGAACTCTATTCATAGAAAGAACTGTAAGTGCCTAGATAAAGCTGATGCAGTGAGAGCTGCTGTACCTGTATTCATCTGATAAATGATCAATCAAGCTTGTGGCCTTCAGTCACTTCAGACAGAGCGGGGGATCAGAGGAGGAAGACTAGTTCAGAAATCAAAGTCCAGACAACGACATGATAGATGTATCTACATAAGGGGTGCTAGCTTTACCACTGCGCTAACAATATAAAAACAAGAACTTTGATTTTAGTTATACAAAAACTATTTAAACTATTTCACAGCTTTCTCATACAATCAGCTATTGTTGGCCAACAAAAGACATTTTCATATACAGATAAAGAAACATTTTACAAAACAGTACAGAGAATATTTCTACTACACATTAGACTTCCAGAACCGTCTCAGATTACAACCACAAGCTTCAGAGTTTTTATTGGGCTCTGATGTGATAGGCTGCTGCAGAGTGGACTTGTTAGAGAAACAGAACAACAAGCTCTGTTCATCTTAGTGTGTCCTGTGGACCAAAGTGTTCAGTTCTGGTCCCATCTCATCAGAACACCTTCTGCCACATTCTGCCATTTTCCCAATATGGCTGGTGAGAAACTGTTTGGATGTTGCTTTAGAACCTAAGCCGCCTTTACACGTCGTCAGCTTGTTCTCTACCAAACCTCAGAGGCCTTCACAGAACAGCTGGATTCCATTTACTAATGAGGAGAATTAGTAAATGGTGATACCAGTTTATTAAATGGTATCAGTGGAGAGCAAGCCAAATATTAATTGATGCAACAGTTTTGTTTGAAAAACTTATTATTATTTTCCTTTGTCTTTATAACTGTGTACTACTTAGTCTGTCACATGACGTTCCAATAAAAATACTGTGAGGTTTCAGGATGTAGTGTGACAAGACAAAAAAAAGTTGTCAGAGCTTATGCAAGACATTCTAAATACTGGAGCTGGTCATAGTTAGCATGTCTTACGGTGAGATGGTTATCTTGGTGTCCGTGTCCTGCTCGACTTTTTTCAGGTTGCGTCCCTCCTTCCCAATGAGGCGGCCAACAAAGTTGTTGTGGGCCAGAACCTTGAGAGGAACCTCGTCAGCTCTGAAAAGCAAAATCCCTGCTTATCACACTGGACATCATGCGGCCTACGGTCATCATGCTCTGCCATGCTGGATCTGTTTGACACATACGTCTTGGTGTCTTTGGCCTCCTGATGCATGATCTCCAGGATCATCCTGCAGGCGGCTGAGCAGCCCTCAGGAGTGGAGTGGATGCTGATTGGCTTCTCAGCAGCACCTGCATTCTCCTTGCGGTGAACATCGATCCTGTGGGGCAACACAGTAAGTGTGCGGGTGTAAATAATTTAAAAGTTGAGATTAATAAATTTATAATCTGTCCCGGTATTGAAAAATAAATTAGAGATTGAATATTGGTGACAATGTGCCCGATCCATAACGTCAGATCTATTCAGTCTAATTCTATGCTTTGTGCTCTGAGCAATGTCACGTTTTATTAATTTTACATTATATTTAGAATTCCTAATTGCACTTTCTGAACCATTTAAAGTTTCTTCACGTTGGACTGAAGTAATCAGCCTGCTGTTTTTGTCAATTTCAGTTTCTTTATTATTTATTTTGCATTGGCTGTTTTACTCATAACTGCACTGACTGAACAAGTGAAAGTTGTTGTTTTTACATGTTTGACCAAGATTCTGAATCTATTTCTGTATTTATGCACATTTTTAAGAACAGAAATGTTTTAAGTCAATTCAGCTCTGTTGTTCTGTATCACATCAGTATCGGCCCATATTAAACCTCAGATATCGATACTGGAAGTGAAAAAAGTGGATTGCCACATCCATAGTTGGTATCTCTCTGTTAATCACCAAAAATCCACAATGGTCACTGAAATCATTTGAACATGAAGAAAAAAAGTAATTAAATAGTAATAAAAAAAAACAATTTTCAAACTGAAAGTTAACCAATGAAAATCAGACACTGCTTTTGAATTGTGGTTCAAGAGAATCTTAAAAAAAAAAAAGATACTAATGAAGCACAGTGTGTTTCCCTTGCTGCAGGTCTCTCTCTTGTCATGATCACCCACTTGCTCTGCGTCTGCTTGGTGATGTTGCGAATGGTGGCTCCCTCTTTGCCGATGATGGCTCCCACGTACTGCGTAGGGACCAGCAGTCTAAGGGGGATGTCAGCGTGTGGAGGCTTAGGGGGCATTCCAGAACTGGGGGACCCCCCACGGAGTCCGCCACGGGGCCCGTAACCGGGGCGACGGCCATTTTCAGTTCCCCGTTGACCCCCCTCCATGTCAGAGGTCTCATCAGGGATATAGGAGACACGCAGGGCGTTGCTCTCCAACTGGTATCCGTTCAGCTTCTGGATGGCTCTGATGGCAAACAACAGATCAACACCTGACTGCAGATCCGTTTACAGAGAAACAGGTCTGGCATCTTAACAAAGATGTCTTTCCATTGCCATTTACAAATTTGGTTGTTTTCTATTTCATAAAAATTCACAGCAATGCCTATGTGTTACACTCTGTATAATATAATATAAAATCAATTTTAAAATCCAGGCACACCTCAGAACACCAAAATTCTTCTCACATATAAAGTTCATTGTGTTCTATCAAGTTACAGCAGTCAAACAGCGCTCGCCACTTCACGACTCTTTTTGTTTGTATGTTTGTCAGACATGAATGTAGCGGACCAACCAAACAAATGTAAATACTAGTCCAAAATAAAACAATAAAATTAATTCTTCAAATCAAATTTATTATATCTTTGTGTGAAAAAGGGACTGTCCCCTAAACTTGAAATCTATTAAGTTGGGCTTACACCGATTTATATAAACCAATACTTTTGCATTGTTTTTGTTTTCTATATTTTGGAATCTGTGCTTCATTCCTTCTCCAGGCACAGCTGACATCTGGTTTAGAACATCTGCACCAAAACCCATGGTTATGAGCAAATTCAGAAGAAGTCTTGAAAATCTCAAATATAGCTGGAGATGAGGCTTAAAGCCAAATTATTATCACTTAAACTGAACTGCAGCAGAACTTGATCCCTCACTATGGGGAAAAGTTCAACATAAAAATGGCCACTAGGTGGCAGACACACACCATGAAAAATAGATGAAAAAAGTTTTATGACGGCCTTCTTTGATTTAGGGACACACAGGCCTAGTAATAAATGGATTTGATTACCCAATTATGCCAAGTTATACATATCTCCAGATTGTTTTCTTTGGTATATTTATTATGCTGTGTATTTTTAGAAGAGCAAATGAAAAAATTAAAAACTTAAATTAAAAAAAAAACTGGAGTAACTTACTGCCTTGCATGTTCCCGGGATGCATATGTAACGTTAACCACTGCAGTCTCGCTCTCTGTGTTGACTGAAACAAAGCAAACAGGAAATGCACAAAGTTGAGTGAGAATCAGCCTGATGCAGAGCTGCTGTGAGGAGCCTGGCTTCACCTGCACCTTCACATGGAAAATCTCAGGAATGATTAAAGGTAATGAAAGATTTTTCAGTGAGGAACAATTCGTGTAAGAGCAAAACTTAATCAGAACCAGCTTAATAACAGGCACAGATTAACCACAACATCTATAGACACTATGGTAAACTGAAAGCACATTACTGCAAAGAGTTGGCTTAATAATCCTGATAAATGATAACCAATCCATGTAGAGCAAACATTACTGACAGAACACATGAGATTCCCCCTGGTTAGCTACAAGGCCTGCTCTTCAAATTAAAAAAGAATCCGTTATGGAAGGATTTACATGAATTTTTGTGTTTGTTTTACTAACTGGTGAATCATTAAATCTCAGACAAAGTGAAATTGCAGGTTTAGGCTTTCAGAGATCTCAAACACACAGGGTGCAGTTGGGTAAGAACAACCTGACATGTTTAGGCAGTTTAAAGCAGAGAAGATGACGAAATAAGAACAAAGCTAATTTCACCCGATGCTGAAGGTTAATATGATTAAATTAAACTAATTTAGTAATCGATTAATTATTAACCAGAGCACAGAGACTCATAAAATGCAATTTTTTGAATGAACATATTTAGAGAATAAATTAAACCAAAAAATATATAATACATGTTACATTTAAGGCAATAAAAATCTTTGTAAAATAAATAAATAAAACAACTCATATTAACACCTTTTGCTGTTGCATTTTAGGTAATAAATGGTTTTCTTATTTAAAAGAGGAAGTAAATGATTTATTTGTATTTCTATGTACTTCAAATATTGTATAAAATAAGCTTCAACAGTTAAATGGAGGATCTGCAGAATGTGCCAGTTTTTTTTTTTTTTTGAGTAATCAAATATTTGTCAGGAAAATGTAAAAATTGAAATAGTATGTCAGAGACTCACCTTGTTCACAGTTTTCAACGGTTCCACACTGAGCCAACAGACCATCCAGCACCTGACAACACACACACACAAAAATATCAAACCAAATAGATAACTGACACAAACGTATAAATTTATCTATAAATTATTCATTCATATTTACACATTTTTCTCATCTTCTCAAACTCCTGCTCTTTTTTGGGGGCAATTATTTTGCTTACTTAAGACTGGCTTCAAACTAACAAACATTTAATTACTCTCAGGATTTTTACTGTTTAAATGTATGTTTAAAACTTCATTATAATTTAAAAAAGGCACAAAAAAAGGACTAAATATTTTAATGAAATAAACAGATTGGGGCACATGCATACATCTGGTAGTGAGTGGAAACTTTTTCACTTTTTCAGCTGATTTTGTAAAATCTATTTCTAAACCTTGAGACTTTTTAAAGATCTGGCTCCATAACAGTACAAACAGAACAATTAATTTATCAGCCATCAATAAAAAATTTTCTTCTACATAAAATATTAACATCATAGAACAAATTGCTACACGCTGTAATTAGATGAAAACAAAGAGAATTCAATAAAAGTCGATGGAGAATTGTTGGTTATTGACGGTCCAGAAAAAAAAGCTTCTAGTTTTACATAGAAATACGAATGGAATAAATCAGATTCATTGCTAATCTTTGACATAGTCAAGACAATAATCACTATTTATTTTGTGTGAATTAACAACCTTCTCTGGGGGATTTTTTTTATTTTTTTGGTAATGAGCAATAAACATTTCGGTTAAAATCCCAAAGGAATAATTGTTTGATAGTTTTTACCAAGTCTTTAGTAGGGTAATTTATTTATTTAAAAAAAAAATCAGAAAAAGAATATACTTTATGTTGTAAAAAGTAGAGTTCTTGCAAATATTCATACCACAGATTTTAGATCTTCAACAATAGGTTAACCCTGTTGTAATGAGCAATAAATCAATTAATTGCATGATAAATTAAAACAAACATAATAATTTTCATTTGCATAATTTGTTTTTCTTTCTCTCTCTCCACCAAAAACCAGATGATTAAATGTCTTCTGCATTGGTTTCAATTAAATCATTTTTTGAAGGACAATTTTGTTTACAGAGATTTTATAATTCATTTTATTTTTATTGTTTCCGTTTTGTTTAGTTAGGATATTTAATATGTCTTGTTAAATCCAGTATTAAATGTTCATTAGAATTTGAGGTTTACTAATCTATCTTGCGTTATTATGTCATTACATTTAGATTGTTTCAAAACAACAATAGTGTCGTTTACCGCAACAACTTCTGGAACAATTTATAATCCACCAAATCTTGTTATTGTGACAGAAATACAAAAGGTTAAGAACTCTTCCAACAATGCAACAAACCTATAACTCAGTATTAGTCAGTAATGATTGAGGCAGTGAGAAAGTGGACTGGGGGACAAAGCTGCTGAGACACCCAGAGAGACACCCACTCCTGCCTGGGGCAGGAGTGGGTGCTCTGCATGCAGGCTGCATGCAGGCTGCATGCAGCAGAGCAAGAAGCAGAGCAGCAGGGTGAATCTGGATGGAAAATGTCTGACACAGGATTCATCGCTGCAGCAAACTGCCCAGAACATGGCAGAGGAGAAATAACAGGTGAAAAACCCTGGTTTCAAAAAATATACAAATCATAAAGATACCTGATAATATTGTATTTGCTTCTGTATCATATTCAGTTTGGTACCATTTCATTTTATTTCATTTATCAAACCTATATTTGATTATTTTATTCATTCATTGGTTTTTGTTTTTTTTCCTCAAGTAAATTGGGGGGAAAAAAACTCCTGGAATTTAACATCTTTAGATTCGACTCTCTTGGCCAAGCTAAACAGGCTGCAGCCAGACTGGATTCAAACCAGAAGAGCGATAAGATGAGAGCAGTTGGCAGTGTGAGTGCAGAGGTCAGACACAGTGTGTTTATGACGAAACAGAAACTAACCTCCCACTGCAGGTGAGGTGGAATGTTTCTGATCTGCAGTTTTCTGGTCCTGTTGGCAGAAGAAAAACAGACATGAGAAACAACATGATGAGCAGAGAAAAGGTGTAAAGTCAAGTTAGACTTTAACTGAATAATGTAATGTAGGATATGTAAACTCAAAATCAAATGTATTTCTGAACATTTCCTCTGCTGGTCTGACAGTGATTCATGCTGAACACCAGCTCTGTGCATGACAACTCAACTCAACCACTGCATTTCAAACAAAGTGGACTCATCACTGCTGGCCTCTAGCTTTAATGGGAGGATCACCAGAACCGATAGCATGTTGGTGATAGAGTACATACTCCAAGGCCTGCGGTTTTCTTATCAGTCTGTCTTCTTATCCAGCCCATTCTTGGGCTGTTTCCATGGTTTCAGCCTATGGTATAAGCTGTGGGTCAGCAGGTGGTAATGGTAGGGGTCAAACAAGTCCTTTGATGGTGACTAGGGCACTGATGGCTTGCAGTGGCATGGGGGGAGGATGAAGAGTGTTCAGGTGCTGATAAGACCAATTTTCCATGTGCATAGTTCCATTAAATGTGGCAGTGGCTCTGACTCTCAGCGTTTTGTCCAGGTTTGGTGGTAAAGGCCGTCATAGAGCCACGAATCAAGATGATGACAGATCTTCCCATTGGGGCTGCCAGGTATCTGAGCGACACAAAGACGATATCCATGGTAACGCCTCCTGGGAATTTAGCATTCGGGTGGGGGAGTGTTCTGGTATGAGTGGGTGTGGCTGTTTAAACCTATTGATGCTCAGCTGGGTGCAGGCAGTGATTGTTATGGATTGATGCGGATGGTAAAGATGGATTATAGAACTGATCCATACATTGAAGCTTTTTACAAGAGTGAATGAAAAACACTGAAACAGAGCAACCTTACAAACTCCTGCTACGCTGTTTTAAATCACCTCTTTTAGTTTTTTGTTTAGAAATGTCCATTTAATGGAGAAAATATCTATTTGATATAGAACTTCAAACTTAGAACCACATTCTTCAGAATCAGGTCCATCTCAACTTACATCTGAAGAGGTGTTATGTGAAGGACAAACAATATGAGGTTAAAAACTGAACTCAGTAATGTTCAAACACTGTTTCCTTCCAGATTTACATCCATATGTATTGCCAGGATTAGGAGACAGTCCCACAATCGTCAGAGTAAAAGGATCAGCGATGAAGCTGCTGAACGGAAAAGATTCAGCAACTACAAGATTTTAGTCCAAGATGAGATACGGCTGTGACATTAGGTTTAGAGTCGGGACCTGAACACATTCATTTTGATTGCCTAATTACAATTAATCAATCAATTTTAATGCAATTAATCTCGCTTTAAAAAAAAAAAACATACAAAAGTCCTGAGCCAGAACCATTGTACTCATGTGTTTTTGGTACTCCCATAAAACTGATGCACAAGTGTGCTAACAACGGCGATGGGCGATAAAGCCGGTTAATTTAGTTTTAAAAAAACTATCTAATCGGACGCTGAAAAAGCTTGTTGAGTTCAAGCTGTGCTAAAAGGAGTTAGCCTATCAGGGAAGCTTTTCAAGCCTCAAATAGCATCTCAATACTAACCAGGTAACATTGACAATGTCGGCGTTCTTAGTCCACATTTCTAAAGAAGTTCCATCAATGATCAGGAGTTCCTGAAACACTGGGAACATAAATGAATGGAACATTTTATTCCAATCTGATGGTAGAAGAACAAGTTAAAAACAATAAATATCTTTGAGCTAATATGTCACTTGATTCAGCAACTGAGCAACAAAAATTGTTGAATTAAAATGTTTATTTTGTGAAAACATTGTTCAATTACTATGAGATTAAAATCACTTAATTACAAACTCTGCAATTAACTTTATCAAAATTTTAAATAGAGGCCCACCACTAATTAACGGAATAGATTAGAAATCTGTCATATCCAGACCGATCCAGACTTCAACACAATAACTGACTTCAACACTGATCTTTGACTCAAAAAGATGGCTTCACTGATGAATATTCTAGAAACATTCATAGAGTTGAACTAACTGTGGCAGTTTGAAAAGGACACCAGGAATCAAGACATAAGAAAATTTAAAGCTGCAGCATCATGTACATTAGTGCCATTTTATAGCACTATGAACTATGCTATAAAAATGCTGCATATCTCAAACATGACTTAATTACTTCTCTTTAAGAAGCTCCTGCTTTTTTTCAACACCGCCTCACAACAATGAGGCGCCATTGTGAGAAATAACGTTTCTCCATTTTAGCCTTTAACATTTCTACAAATATTGGACTGAGAAGTAGTTTGTATGATGAGCTCAGCAGACTCCAGGTTCCAGTAGGTGCCAATTGCTGCTGCCGCTAGTCTGAAGGAGCTGAGTGGGGGAGATGAAAGGGAAGGGTGCTGTGTGGGGCGGAAGCTCAGCTGGAGACTGCAGCTCCATGGGAGCAAGAGCCCCAATGGTTGCCATGGAAGATTGAAGGATTTCTCAAACAAAGAATCAACATAACAGTTCAGGTAAAATAAAACCATATGTTTTCTTTAGTTGCATTAGGACGTTCCACCAGATGAGCCTGCGTCTTCAGCAGAGTGAAACATTTATGCTCCATGTGTCAGGAGGAGCATGCAACTCCAGCTTCTCATGACACAAAGAACCGGTGATGAAAAGAACAAAACAGAGAAAACACAGAGAAGAAACGATAGAAAAGGCTTTGGTTTAAAGAGGAGTTAAAGGTCAATGGTCACAGCTCTTCAGAAAGGGGGTGGGCAGTGATGGGGGGGCCGGGTATAATAAGACCACTAAAGAAAGATATGAAAAATCTTTCACCTCTGTCTAAGCCGGTTGGGTGATCCAATCATGAACAGGCAGCAATAAATACAGCTGAGAAACCTATCAGGATGGTGAAGGACTCTGGGGGGCGGGGCTCATCTGTACCAGTTCACCAGTCCAACAGCAACATGTCCTGACACACAACAAAGACCACCGGCCCACCCAAAGGTGCTGATTAGACTTTTGAAAGGATTCAGAGACAATATTTTTCAACTTATTGATGCTCTATTATAGTTGGGACGAAACATTGGAACCAGTAGAGCCATAAAAAGTTATTATACAGAGAGAAAACCAACATCATCCAATATAAAGCGTAATAAACATGTACAGAAGGGCAACAACATTACGCTGAGCAGAGTTAAAGAGCTGACAGCTCCAACAGCATCAGGGTGGGCGGGATCTCTCATGATGCTCTGTCCTCCAATTGGATCTGGTCGACATCTGAAGGGGCCAATAAGCTGCAGCCACTGGTCACCCTCTGCACCCCCGTTTCTCCACTGCCAGTAATACCAGCAACACTACACTGCAGGAGGAGCCAACATGCTGGAGCCTGACCACACCTTCTGCCAACACCCTGAAAACAGCTGCTGGGCCTGCTGCAGGCGGAAGGTGTTGTCCTGGAATCCCAATTCATCTGAAGCTGGTGACAACTTCTACTGGAGATACTGAGCCCATTCTTTAGAAGGTCAAAGTACTGAAGAGATGATAAATCAGGTTCTCAAGGTGACATGCAGTGACTCAGACCCATAACTAACCAGAACACAGTTTTACTTTAACAATGAATTAAAAATTAAAGAGCTGCACATTTCAGAGAGGATCAGTTTTCACCTGCTGGACCACGACTCTGCATCCTGGAGGTTTGGAGCCAAAAGTGGCTCTGTGGCTCTCTTCACTTATTCAAATAAAATATTGCACTTGTTCTGCTTTCATTGCTTAGTTTTGTGCCTCCATGAAAAACCCTCTGCCCCCACACATTCAGCTCACCACGTTTAAGGTAGGATGCTCTAGTGGCCCTGGTGCAGATCACATGTCAATACCAGATCTCACCCGGACTGACGACACTGTCCAGACGTGGAGCCAGCACCCGACTGACAACGTCACGAGCTGCTTTCAAGACATGTAAGACTGGAATGCCATTTAAGCAAATAATCACGGAATCCCATCATGTCAGGTTATGTCAAAGTCATTCATCTTCCAAAAAACTAAACGGATTACCTGTTACGTGTGCTGAACTGTTTTGTTCTCATTGTTTGCTTATTGTGTCTGCTTTCCAACCCCCTTTGTTCATTTCTTATCTCAGTCGCTCCTGTTCATTCCTTTTTCACAGACATCATCAGATTTGCAGTAATTGCAAGATTTCTATTTCTGGAAAGAGGGGAGTGACAAACATCCCAGCAACAGCCCCACTGTGTGTGCAGTGCTGTTGGCACAGGTCAAGCAGGAACTACTCTTTGATTCAAGCCAACTATCACTCACACAGCTCAGAACATTTTCCAGATGTGCTCTTTAAATTAGAAACATGTATTTATTGCATGAGTGATCAGATCTGGGTCCTGGTTTATAATGAGACATCCCATAATGCTGCAATTAACACAGTAGGATAAACCAGAACAGCTTTAGTCCAAATAAACACATCCTCAGTATTTGAAGAACACAGTCAGCTCACCACTGTTAAGTGTTAAATTAGCCTTTTAGGACAAAATGTAACAGGCTGGAATTTCATAGAGGAGTTTGTCCAACATGGTCAACGCGCTTCCAGCTCAAACTTCCTCCAAAACCCGTCCAGTCGCCCCACCTACCAACAGTACAGAAACTCCATCAATTTTGAAATAAGAATATTTGTCTCTGTAATCCACGGTCGGCTTTTTTTCTGTGACTGTGGCGTTCTCACATGTTTCATTCTGAGCTGTAACTCAGTCTGGGCAGGAAAGGTGTTAACATGAGAACCCACAGAAAGAACCAGGGAGCTCATTCAGACATGCCAACAAGTTCATCTGCCGTCATTACCACACTAAACAATTAGAACACAGTTTGCTCTCAAATGTCCCCTGGTAGGGAGCAAGAGCTGGGGCCCGACGCAAGAGCACAAAAGTGCAGGGGCTTAATATTTTATAAGAGCTATCTAAGCAGCATAAAAATGAAAGATGAATATTTTATTGCTATAGCTGCAGAGCAAGGAGACAGAGGAAACTAAA